CCCCAGCCTCCACCTAGGAGTCATCCCGATAATTCCTGGGATGAGTTTGAACATGGATTGAGACATGAGAAAGCGAGCACAAAGCTTTTTTTTTTTTTTTTTTGGCTCTTCTTACTAAAGTACTGTGTGTGTGTGTGTGTGTGTGTGTGTGTGTGTGTGTGTGTGTGGTGGGGGGAGTAAGTGTGATGGATACCCTGTTGCTTGTACATTTTGTGCTTCCCTGCTAGCTCTCAGCCTAGTCATGTCTAGTCAGTCAACAGCTCTGCCTTTGGGTTATGATATAAATTTTTGATACTAATCATTTTGTTATAGTAGCAGTAGAACAGCATTTTTCAAAAGGAAAAACTTTTAGAACTTATTGGTTTCTTTTTCTTAAAGACAATGAAATGCAAGGAGGGGGAGATGTGGAAGTATGACTCTTTTTTTAAAAATATATACCAAGCCTTATAGTTGGCACGCCTTCTCTCATCATTACCTCAGGCCACCCTGCTCAGGTGTTCCATTTGGTCATTGATCTTACAACAGGGTGCTGTACCACTGCCAGCCTGTATTATTTCTGTATGTTTTCTTCTGGAAAACAAATAATTCTTAGAACTATAGCATTTTCATGAGAACGAGATCATTTTTGTATGCCACTGTTTTTCTTTCTATTTGCCTATCTCTACAGGAAAAGCAATCGTTAGTGGTATCAACTTACATTTTAAAAAATCAAACAAATGTGTTTCATGTTAGGAACTTTTTAAAGAATCAGAACAAATACATTTACAATGTGAGGTGACTTCCTTTATATCTTTAATTGTCTAAAAGTCTTGGTTGAACTACTGACAGAGTTTTCCTGAGCCTTTCAAGGGGTTATATGGAGATTATGGAGTATGAGAGAACAATACTGCAGCTTATCACATTCTCTCCTTTGGTTCTTGATACTGTCCTTCAAGTCACCTTATTACTGTTATTATTTTAATCAACTCACTATAGAACTCATTTAGAAATTTTAATCCGTTTTGAAAGTATCTTAAGACGAAGTTGTTTTTTATCAGACTTCAAGCCAGTCATTTTCTTTATCATTTCACAAGTTTCTTCCATGGCTGCTGACATTTTCTTATCCTTCTACCTCTTCCTCATTATTTTAATTCTCTTCCTTTCTTCTCCTTTCTTTTTCCCTTCATCCCTTCATTCTCCTCTCAAGAAATATGAATGGTCACTATGTACAATGTAATAATTTGATTCCAAAGTACAACTCCCTGAATGTATTAATGTATCGTCGACAGAAAATATGAATGGGTAAAACAGTGCACAAGAATAGAAACTAATGCATAAGTAAAACTATTGTTAGTACGTTTTTATTGATTCTAGGAAGACAGGAAGGGAGAGGAAGATAGATAGAAACATTGATGTGTGAGAGAAACATCAATCAGCTACCTCCCGTATGTATGCAACCAGACTGGGGACTGAGCCCACAACCTGGGCACATGCCCTGACTGGGAATCAAACTGGTGACCTTTCAGTGCATGGGACAACACACAACTAACTGAGCCACACTGGCCAGGGCTAGAACTGTTTTCAAAGTCATAAGTTTGCTTGGAACTGAGCTAACATCTGGAAGAAATAGGAGAGAGCCTCTTTCATTTACTGATAAGTCTCCTTATAAGTCTCCTGGGAAAACAGACCCAAAAAGTATTAACTATATGTGCCTTGCTCTTAAAGCTGTTATCAGTTGGTAGAAGAATAACTTTATGACTTTATAATATTAGTGGGAGTGGTAGACATTATATGAAAGAAGGCAAATGTTGTATTTCACTTATTCCACAAGCTTTTATTGAACCTCATTGAGTGTCAGGCACCTCAGCAATGCAGAGCTGGAATGACGAGATATTCCAGTCCTGCGGGTTCTGAGTACAGAATGTTGTGTCTATAGACACTTGAGATTTTTCAAAAATATGTTTTTATAGATTTCAGAGAGAAGGAGGGACAGGGAGAGAGAGATAGAAACATCAATGATGAGAGAAAATCATTGATTAGCTGCCTCCTGCACTCCCTATACTGGGAATTGAGCCAGAAACCCAGGCATGTGCCCTGACTGGGAGTCAAACCGGCGACCTCCTGGTTCATAGGTCAATGTTCAACTACTGAGCCAAATCCGCTGGGGATAAACACTTGAGATTTTTAACTTAAGTAATTTTGTGTAGGCACAGATTGAAATTTCAATATATGACATATCCATATTATTGCAGCAATAACAAATTAACATTTTGTTTTACAATATTGGAACAGAAAATGGGATTATACAATTGGATTGATTTTAACTATTTTTATCTAAGCACCTCTATTTTAGAGAAAATATATTTCTACAGAAAATTAAACTTATTGACAGAAAAGTTTTCTTTAGAAAATGTTTCTTCATTCATTATTTTGAGTGGTGGACCGTGTGGTTATGCTTTCAGAATTAAAGATATTTCTGCTTGAATATGCATTTTTTAATGCTGAGAAGGATTACTTGACTATGTTCTGTGAGTTTTAAAAAGTCTGCCCAGTGGTAAAATAATAATTTGTACTGTGTAATGATCACTTACTTTAGAATTAAAACCCTATTTAAAGTCTCACATCTCAAAAAGCTGGGGTTCTGCTCAGGAAAGAACAGAGGAGGTTGGTCTCTGGGTGAAACTCTTAAAGAATATTTTCAAGTTGCGCTAAGTTTACTTTGTAAGGTTCTCTGAGATATTGGTGCACTTCCCAGTGGTAAGAAAAGGATGCCATTTAAGCCCTATTTTGAGGACCTTCTCCTTAGGAGGTCCACGTGAATGCATAGGGTTCATTTTTAATCCATTAAAAAGTATTATACTCATTTTTAAAGGTGTCTTAAGCCATGTTGCCTATCACTTTTCCAGTTGGTCTGTGAGACACACGTAAAGCCATTCTTATTCCGTGGCATCTCTGTGAGTTGAGAAAAAGAAAGACGACCAAAGCAGATGGCTGGAATGCCAATTTACTTTCAAATGTTATAACAGAGGATGGTTAAGCTTATGACCTTGTTGCACTTTGCTTGTATAACTTTCCTTGGGAATTTTTTTAATCAGGTTTATTTTCCCTTTGACTCCGATTTCCAGTGCCCAGAAGTCTTCTTTTCAGCAGTGTTTATGTACTTAACAGCATTTTCTGAGGTGGGCACTACAGAATTTTCACAGCATGGGTTCGTTGGGCTAAGACTTTGTGTACGACTTATATCAAGTGGAAAAGTTGACAGACATGAGCTTTAAAAATGGCTTTTTGTGTGTGCTCTCTCTCCATTTGAAGCTTTCGCCTGTATTTCCTGTTGGGCTACAGTGTTTTCCAACGTTGCCGTTAAGAGAACAAAGTCAACACTAAAAAAATAATTTTTTTATTGAAGAATATGTTTTTCCAAGTAAAGTCATTATCAAAGAGACTGTCATGGTGGGTCGTCATTCATGTGTGGCACAGTGTTGGCCTTTTGCATCTTGAGTTATAAACTCGAAGTCATAGTTAAATAAATATCTATTTATTTAGAGAGAGGAAGGACCCTCCCTAAAGCCAAACAAGGAGAAAAGCTTTTTGAAGACTGTCCCTTTGGAGGAAAAATAAGCATGTTGTTGGGTAATCCTGCCATTATGTTCCTTGTTGGTAATCTCATCACAGCCAATGATCTAAGATCCTGGTCCACATTCAAAGGTTGGTATTTATGTCAACACAAAATATACCTTTACAATAGAGCTAATTTTCTTTATTTCCATTTTCAATGCTGTTTGCAACACACAGCACTTGAATGTAGCACAGTGGAACTTTAACATTTATTCAGAAAACAAATAATTGGCTCCTATGAAATTAGATCTGTACTGGGCTAAGTTGATCTCTGAAATGGCAAGAAAAATGCTGCCTTAAATTAATATGATTAGCAAGATTTGCACTAGTGAGTCAGGTAGGGGAGATAGTCAACACACCTGAAAGGGGTAATGGATTTTATGTAATTTAGGAAGGAACAGATCCTGCCACTGTCCTAGGCACTTAGAATATAAAGTACCTTTAATAAGCTGGAATGTCTTGGCAAATATCTGTTAGGGAAATACATATCAATAAATCCCCATGATAAACATGATTAATGTATTTGAAGCAGGGTGGAGGAAATTATTAAGTCTATTTCACTGTGTCAGGGAAGACTCAGAAGAGGTGGGCCTTCTGGGATAAATAGAGGAGGAGAAGGGGAAGTGGGTAAACCATGAACAGTCAGTCTCTGGGGCAAATACTTGGCTTATGAGACTTTCTAGAATGTTTCCTATGGAATATCTAATGGTTAGCTTAAAAAAAAAAGATTTTCATTGATTTTTAGAAAGAGGGGAAGGGAGGGGAAGAGAGAGAAATATTGATGCGAGTTCATGGGTTGCTTCCTGCACATCCCGGAGATGGAGATCAAGCCTACAACCTGGACATATGCCCTGACGGGGAATCAAACCAGCAACCTTTTGATGTATAGGATGATGCTCAACCAAGTGAGTCACGCCGATCAGGGCTCTAATGCTCCTCTTAATTATTAAGTGTACTAGACAGTGATAACATTAATTTTTAAAACATTTTCCTCAAATTTTTACTGTTTCAGAGTACCTCCCCAATTATCCTATCCATTTCATAGTCAGTTGTGTAATTATTTTTATTTAATACATTTGAACATTTTTAATGCTTTACATTATAAACTTTGGTAAATCTTAACCTTGTAGCATGTGCTAAAAATAATAACACTCATGTTAGAAATAACACTGTATAAGCTACTTTGAAAATTTCAGACTACTTTTACATCTATTACCTCATTGTATCAATCAATAGTTAACTTATTTGAAATGGAAATTATTTGTTGAGATTGAGTACACTGATCCTCTGAATACTTTCTCAAATGCCATCAATTTTCACCAACCAGAAGGGCTTATTAAGTTTCATTTGGTCTCCCTCTTCCTCATTAGCATATCTATGAATTACTCATAATGTTCAAAGCTGTATGCAGACCTGTTGGTGATTAGGACCTGTTATTAAACAAACAAAACTCCATCTTAAGAAAGCTGCACAAATTTAAAGGATGGACCAATTTTTCTCCCTGGTGTTAGCATAGGACGTTTACAAAGTCATCTAAATTTTTCATGTAGGTGAGTTAAAGAGATTGACTGGAGTGACTTTGTTAATATAAAAAGGAGACCTTTTTTTTTAAACACTGTGACTCCAAAAAGGTAAGCATGAAGATGGACCAAATATCTTATTGCCCCTCTGATACTGCCTGCCAGCTGTGCATTTTCTTACTACAATGAACCCCCTCATTTTTATTGCTGTGTACAAGGTACAGCGTTTCATTTTTCTTCCTGCTTGGGCTTCCTGTAGAATGCACACCCCATATAGGTCTTTAAATTCCTACTGTTGTGCGAACAAGTCAGTCTTTCTGTTCTCTCCTTTGTTAACTGTAAACCTTGTGGAGCAACCACGCTTCCATGCCCTCCGTGAGTGGCTGGACTCTGCTCAAATTAAACACCGTGAGATTATCAGCAGGTTACAAAGGTGGCGTGTATCTTTCTCTTCAGCATCTTTGTATAACATTGTCTTGATCTGGAAAATGCTAACAAACTGGAGCGAGCTAATCATCCCATACCCACCCACCCCTTGTAAATTAGGACCTCATGCCCACCACATAAAAAGTAGGGAGAACACATCTATAACATTTGCTCTCCTGTGAGGATAAAAAAAAAAAAAGGTACACATAGAAAATGCATAGGAATTATTTTTTTAATCCAAGCATCAATTCAGATCACCTGTCTTTCACCTGCAGTGAGGCAAAATGGAATGTGTTTGGATCTTTGTAACTAAACATACCCAGGTTCAAATCTCAGATCTGCCACATAATAACTGGGAGGTCTTGGGCAAGTTCATTAGCCTTTCCAAGTATTCGCTTCCTAACATATAAAAATGTTTGCAGGTCGTCTGTAGAGAGGTTGTTGTAACCTGCTGATAATCTTACAGTGTTTAACTTAAGCAGAGTCTAGTCCAAATAAGGTAAACTATATAAAATACCCAGCACATATTTGGTCCATCAGAGTGCTCAGTAGAAGTCGGATTCCACTTGCTACATTGCGTAGTTATTCTAGGTTCTGTGATGAATAAACCCCAAATGCCCCAGTAGCTGGGTGAAGTCAAGTTTACTTCTCACCCTTGGAACAGTTCAACACAAGTGTCCCTGGTGAGCAGACAGCCTCCGTGTGCTGATTCAGAAGTCCAGGCTTTTCCACTTAGTGGTTCTGCCCTGCCCTGAGGCTTTGGAGTCCTGGACATTCAGGCTCTAGCCCAGCAAAAAGAGAATGGAGAACACACACCACCCATAAAGCCCCATAGGCAGCTTTTGACACACATTGATTGGACAGACATTTCACGGGCAAGGACTAGTTGAATGGTGCCAATTACGTGGAAGGGGACTAGGAAACATACTTCCACCTGGACAACCACTTTCTAAGCACAACTTTACCGTATGGCTCAGTGGTTGAGCATCGACCTATGAAGGAGGAGGTCGCAGTTCAATTCCTGGTTGGGGCGCATGCCAGGGTTGCAGAATCGATCCCCAGTGGGGGCATGCAGGAGGCAGCTGATCAATGATTCTCTCTCATCATTGATGTTTCTCTCTCTCCTTCTCCCTTCCTCTCTGAAATTAATAAAAATATTTTCTATCTTTCTTTCCCTCTCCATTTGTCTCTGAAATAAATAAAAAAATATATTTTAAAAAGAAAAAGAGAGAGAGAGAACCAGTACAGATGGGCAGTGTATTTATTCCTTGCCCACTTCATTGCCTTATACTCCATCAATTAAAACCCTGGCTAGTAATCACATGATAGGGAGAGGTGGAGGAGTAGATGGCACAGGTCAGGTTAGTGGTTGTAATCTAGAACTTGTGACAAGTGAAACTTATCTATGTTCCATTAAGAGACACATTAAAAAGTCAGTATCATCTGCTTTCCTCTCTATCAGACATTTATCTTCATTTGCTTCTCAAATGTATATTCCTTAGATCTGTAACAAAAGATTATTCTGCTGCTCGTGCTTTCATCTAAGTGTTGACAATAGATACAAGTCGGCAAATTTATTTACATCATTTCTAAACAATGTGCTTAAGAAACATTGCAAGCTGTCATAGCCAAGACCAACGTAAGGAAACAAGTGACTGACTCTAATGTGGTATCCTGGATGGTGTCCTGAAACATTAGACAAAGTGTCTGAGGACACCAGATGAAAACGAAGGAAATATGAATAAAATATCGCCTTTAGTTCACAATAAGTATCAGTATTGGTTCCTTAATGGTGACAAATGTAGCATAGTAATGTAAGATGGTAATAATAGGGGAAACTGAGTGTTAACTGTATGGGAACTCTGTACTATTCTGGTTTTTCTGTAAATCTAAAACTGTTTTAAAAGAAATTTATTTTTTTAAATTGATGATTTAAAAAAATCATCAATTGCAGTATCTTCATAGTTATTAAATGCCCATAGTACAACACTCAGTTGCCACAGACCCGACCTCTGTTTTATCACTGTAGAAAATTTAGCCTCTCTGGTAACTAACTGAACCCATGCCTATTGAAAGTGTCTTGCCTAGGTTTTGGTACTTAGTAAATGCTCAAGGAGAGTATGTTCTTTCTCTTTCCTCTCCCTCTTTCAGTGCTTCTAGTAATTCTAAAAGAACAATATGAACACTTACTTGGCTGTGAAAAGGATTGAGCTAATAAATACTCAATTTTAGGATGCCGGGGAACATGGATCTAATGTTCATGTGGTTACTTTCAGTGGTAAACATACAATGCAATATACAGATGATGTGTTATATATTGTACACTTTAAACCTAAATGATTTTATTCAATGTCACCCCAACACATTTAATAAAATAATAAAAAAGAAAATCCAAAGATGTTATTTATTAGAAGAATGGTCATCAATAGTCAATATATTTTTCAATATATATTTCAGAAAATTACAACAGACTGTATGATAATGATAAAAATGGTTTTATAAGACTATTGATATGATAATTTTGCTCTTCTAAATTTCCTAAAATGATACTGTTTAATTTTAATTAAAAAATAACTTCCTCCATATTTAAAAGTGCCTAATATTTACTTTGAAGGCTTATTCCACATTATATTTCTCAAATAATATAAAGCAAGAGCGAGAGATTCCATATGTCAATACTATGAACAAACAGTTATTTTTGTTCCTCCTTACTTAACTGCCCCAATTGTGTACCACTATTAGGATTTACATCTCAAGGTCAAGGTCCCTGAAAAGTCTCTAGTAACAGACTTTGAAAACTCTCTTTTTGTTTAGTTTCCTTGGCCTTCTTTGGTTATTCTGCCATCATAATGACATTTCCCTGATTTCTCCAAACACAGTTGTGCCCATTTCAGCAATATTCATATATGAAAGGAAGTGGAAGTTCCAATCCAGATGTGGTGACCCTTGAGATCTTATATTGACCTTAGTAGGTATTAACTTTTTAGATCAATAAGAGCTGTTATTGACCTCAAAGAAAAGTCAATATCTGCTTGTTAATTTGCAGCTTGAAAATGTTACACATTTTGTTCTTCATTATTACCCTACTTATTTCAGCCTTTCCAAAACATGTCTTTACTGTTTCTACCAAGAGATCAT